TATATATATATATATAATAAAAATTAGTACTTAACACAAAAAAAAAATTAATCATTGATTTATTTGAAAATATTTCCTGAAAAAACAGCAGGAACTAAAACTCAAACCACAATTAGCAAACGATTAAATAATCTTCACTTCAAAGTTCACCCAACAGGTCTAATTATAGATTTTACGATAAAATCTAAATCTGATTAAAGAAAAATTGCACATTTTAAATTCTATTTGCAATCATCATTAACTAGTTATTGATTGTGGCAAAAGTAAGTTCAATGTGGTTTTATGCATTCAATGAAATCTCTTCAGAATGCATTTTTCTGGAATTGATTTGGCAGAGAGAGAGAGAGTGCTTGAAATAATAAATCATCTTAAGGACATACTCATCAATGCACACACAATCATTTGAGAGGAATTACAAATCTAGGAAATTATTGTCCTTTACACAAATTGTAGTAATATCCATCCAATCAAGTCCTTCAATAATTTCTCGATTATTGTTGTGAGTTGTGGATGCAGTAGGCGGAGCACGAAACATAAACATAAAATTACAGTGGAATGTTGATTCGTAATGATGAGAAAATTAGCAAATGCATTGAATGTTCCTAGTACGAATCCATTAACAATCTTAAACTAATACGATACTCTAAATACATCAAAAACTTGATAGCCAAATAACAAGCTACATCCTTTTTGTTAAAAAATTTAATTGGAACTAAACCATTTTTTCAGTCTCAAAATTTTTGTTCTATAAGTTTATGAAAAGTGCATAATGATGTTGAATTTAGTAGACTTGCAGAATTTAGTAAAACTTGCAGATTTGGTACTTTGTGAATTAATGGATCTTAAATTTTAAACTTATATATGGTGATCGCCATTAGTACTTGGGGACAAGATAGAAACAGTTTTTGAAATTAACGCTAAAAAATTGAGAAGTATTATAAAAAAATGCGATCAAAAAGATCTAGAACTCAATATGGACCGTAGATATTGGAGACGTCCTTGACTATAAGCAGAACATTTTGCTACATTTCCACCTTATAGTGTGTTAATTGGTTTCTAAATAATATCAGAATGTGTAGATGCATGTAAATATTAGGCTGGGGGAAAAAGAAATCCATTATTTTTTTCGGTTAGCCGTCGTAACATCGCCCAGGAGCTAAAAATCGACATTGAAACTGTTTTAAATCATTTACACAAAGCTGGATTCAAAAAGAAGCTCGATGTTTGGGTGTCACACCAATTAACAGAAAAAATAGGATGGATCGAATTTCCACATGCGAAGCCTTGGCCAAAGGGAATGAGATAGACCCATTTCATAAAAGGATGGAGACAAGAGATCAGAAATGGATCACACACGATAACCCTGTGCGAAAACGATCGTGGTCAAATGGCGATGAAGTACCTCAAACGGTGGCCAAACCAGGACTAACGGCCTGGAAGGTTCTGCTATGCATTTGGTGGGACCGAAAGGGGATTATTTATAATGAGTTGCCTCCATGTGGCCAAAAGCTAAATTTTGATATATACAACAACTGGACAGTTTTAAAATAGCAATTGACCAGAAACGGCCAGAATTGCCCAACAGAAGAGGTATCGTCTTCCACCAGGACAACGCTAGGCCACACACATCTACAATGACTCACCAGAAACTTCGGGAGCTTGTTTGGGAAGTTTTAATGCATCCGCCATACAGTCCGGACTTTGCACCAAGCGATTATCACATTTTTCTTGTATTGCACAATTTATTTAATGATAAAAAATTGGTGTCTAGGTAGGATTGGGAATCAACTACTAGAGTTTTTTTTTCAAATAGAGAGGCATTGTGAAGTTACCGTTAAAATGGCAACAAATCATACAACAAAACGGTTCACATTTGTTCCAAATTGGACATTCCGAAACACGTTAAATAAAGTCCTATAGCTCATATTAAAAAATGGATTTATTTTTCCCCAAACTAATATTTATGTATAAATCCCACATTCGAGTAGATACATCACTGTAATTGCTATCAATTTAAAAGCAAACACTCCTCTTCTCGGGTATATATCCTTCAGAAGTGTAAAATTTCGTGGCGATTGGTCAATAACTTTAGACTGTATCGAGTTTACAATATATAATGGCCAGATGAACGGACACACATGTCTAGATTGACTAAGCTAGTCCAGATATGACAATCGGGTGTCATGGGTCTAGGAACAATATTTCGCGTTACAAGCTATTGAGGACACGCAAAGCTATAATACCCTGACAACAATGTTGTGTAGGGTATACAAATTCTGGATTCCAGTTCTTCCCTCAGTCAGTACCTTTTTACTTTTAAGGAAGAATTTCTCATTTTATCACACGCCTACTCACCTTTATGCTAAACTTTAAAATTTCTGCTTCAGTTCGTTTAACTCCATTTAATTCGAAAAGTTGAAGGTATAACTTTTTTCCGAACAAAAGAAAATAACCACAGTCTGCTACATTTAAAGTCTGCCACTGTTCGTTGTCATTACTATTTCATAGAAATTGCGTTACTCTCATAGAATAGAGAATGTTAACTGAATGTATGACATAGGAAATCTCACTGCGGGAGGGAAGGCTAATTTGACAATGAAAACTTCTTAAAATACTGCTACCACCACCACCGTTGCAATGCAATGTCAAACGTAAGTCTCAACATTGTCACGACAACCATCACAGAGCAACAATGACGCATGATGTGAACGAAGGAAAAGGAAATTGTCTGAGTTGACTAGTTCCACTGGCAGGGGAACGACGAATCGGCAAACACGCCAACCAACAGATACAACTACTGCAGCATGCTATTAAAAATAGTTGACATACACACACACACACATACCAAAAGTCGCAACACAGCATCCAACATATAAATTTACCATAATAATGTATTTGTGTGCGTTAGCGGAAAAGTGCCGATGACAATGTATCTTTGGAGCTACTACTAAACAAATTAAATATATTTCTGGCAAAATAGCATAGTAGACGTCATCGAAGCGAACGGTAAAAAGTAAAATGTATGTTCATATCCTACACTGCAATTTGAATACAGTTCAAGGATTCAATGAAATGAATCCATTTAAAACTATTATGCTAAGTTTCAAGATCAGTAAAATTTCGTAATGTTTTCCATTTTTGTCATCAAAATCTTTAAAAAACAAAATGTTGGCCAAGAGCGATAACTATGGTTTTTAGTATTGATCGGCTATTGTTAAGGGGATGAAGTGGGATAAAAACAAGTACACAGAATGTGAAAATGTTGATTTTACATCGATGTATTCTTTTTTAGAAAAATATTATTTTAAAATTGTTTCATATAAAATCGTCAGTAAAACATGTCAATTTAATATTAAACATTGTTGATTTTAAAATTTTCACGTTAAAATAAAATTGCCCATATTCATTTTAACATTTTTCATAGTTAAAATAACAGTAGGCAATGTTGAATTTCCATAGATGAATTTTTTTAATAAAAATAACAAATTTTCATGTTAAATTAACATTGTGACAATAATAAAATTAATAGTTACTAATGTTGAATTGACATTCTTCAATTTTAAAAATTTAATAACATTGACTCATGTTGAAACAACATTCCAATCATGTTAAATTAACATTGTGACTAGTTAAAATAACGTTTACCATTGTGAAGTTAACATTGAGAAAATAGTAAAATTAATAGTAATTAATGTTGAAATGAAATGATAATATTTTAACAATTAAATAACATTGGCTCATGTCGGAACAACATCTCTATCATGTTAAATTGACGTTGTGAAATGTAAATGCTAAATGGAACAAGATTGAATTAAAGGTGTAAATTGTTAAAACAACATGAAACAGTGTTGAAATGAAATGAATTCATGTTGAATTATACAAAAAGAAGTGTATTAACCAAAATTCCATTCGTATAGCATTTATTAGAGTGTAAAGGCGTATACCGCGTGGAAAAGTGATGTGATGCACATATTAAGTGAATTTAATTCTTTAATATACAATTATGTTTGAGGCCGACAATACTAATATGAATTTGGCAAATATTGTGCAAAATTTTGTTCACGGTAATATTAATTTATTGAGTGAGGAAATATTGAGACATATTTAACATATTTTTTATAATATATTAACAAACTTTCTCAATAATTACACAGAAGCCAAAATTTAATTTGAAAGCTTAATATTATTAAATGAGGAGATAAAGGAAGCTATTCCACCAATAGGCTTTCGTGCTTCTATCCGGAAAAATTGTTCTGTTGGAGAAAAATTTAAGTAAGAAAAATAATTTTAAATCATGTTTCCATTTCATTTTTTGCAAATATTTTGTTCGTATTTTCTGCAGTATGACATTGATGACGATACCTTGTCCCAACGGATTGCCAATAAAGAAGTCACTTGGTCATAAAATCAATCTAATGTTAGTACAACACCATCGCCGGCATTATCCTTATCAACATCAATTGCTAATTCGAAGCTGTATACGATAAACTTTTAATCATAGTTTTTCTTTTTGTAATATACATTCTTTTTTGGAGAGGGATTTTTTCTAACTGGGACAAAGTTAAAGACAAATGACAAAGGACATTTTCATTAAAGCAAAGTCAACTGAAGTCGTGTGGTAGCTATTACGAATTCCTTAGCGATTGGTTATTATGATCATTTTCAATCCTACGTTGTAGACATGTTAAAGAACTCCATGAATTTACAAGTCCTCCTCTACATCTATTACATATTAATGATGGTAATAAATGCTTAAATTTTACAATAAATAAATAACCAAAATACACATAACATTTCAACATGAACATTTGTTATTTCAACAGGAAATTTCAAGTGGTTTCAATGGGGGTTTCATATCATTTCAACAGGTTTCATGTCATTTTAATATGATTTCATAGTTAATTCAACATTAAATTCGTATTGATTCAACTGTTAAAAATGTCAATTTAATAAGAATTTTACATTATTTCAAAATGACAATCACATTGATTCAACTAGAACAACACAGTCAAATTAACAAGATTTCGTGTTATTTTTAAAAGAAAAAGTGTTATTTTAATTTTACTGTAAAATCATGATGAATCAACATGAAACGATAATGAAGCAAAATCGTTAGGAAAGAGTTTTGAATCAACATGATTTTAATTGATTTTACAATGATTTTTTTCTGTGTAAGAGAATATTGATCAATGAACTTTTAACGGATCCAATGGAGCAAGGTTTCTGTGTTTATTACGGAATAGTTTTCAATAAAATGTTAAACTTTTGCGGTAGTTTTGTCGTCCATATATATATATATATATAGACGTCCAAAATAGAAGGAGTTTATGTAGATAGATTAAATTTTGTACAAGAAACCTATTAACGGAAAAAAATTGTGAAACAAATTTGGATGGATCGGATTAAGATTTGGTATTCCTCCCATATAATGGCACTCTGCTGGGCTATAAAATCGTTAAAAGTCCAAAAATATACAACAAATTTCAGCCCATTTCCACTAATGTATATAAAGTGTCAAAATTCTGGATACATTGGATGTAGATTTGGTTCGTTGACATTCAGCCAATTTCGATGAAAAATTGTGCATGCCACGGTTGATCAATTTGGCACAGATTTACATATAACTCCCATGCATAATTTTGCATGGGAGTTATATATTCGATTTCATACAAATGGTACACCGCGTTTCGGGTCTGTCCCCATATAGTCGTATTCCACCACAGCAGAAAGTATGGAATTCTAAGACGATTTTGCCGATTTAGCCATCTGTTGTAATCATTCTACCTTCGGAGGATATCGAGATAAGAAACTAGAACGTCAGGTTCGACGATGAACTATATCGATTTTCGTTATTTTTAATATTTTCGGTATTAGCCATAGCATCTCATATAACGATAACTTCAAATGTTCGATTATCCCCACACGATGTAATCAATATTGGTACCGCTTTAGGTATATCCTTCGAGTACGTACGCATACAATTTTTTTTATTAAACCATCAGCTTCCACCACTGCGTTTTAAAAATCTGCATATTTAATTAGAAAACATTTTGTTTGTAGACTTAAAAATCGCTTAACGGATTTTATTGAGATTTTCGCAAAACGTCATGGCATGTCCTGGGAAAAACATAGGTTATATAAACTTCTTAAAATCCATATGGATGCGGAGTTATATCAGCATAGGGAAAATTAACTCCTCATTACATTTAAATATAAACATCAAAAATTATTTATGGACTCAAGGACCACTGAATAGAATTTACTAATATGTACACAGTACGTCACGCGATCCCTTGGACATAGGATGGAAACACGCATTTTACGATGAGGATATATTTTGGAACCTTGGGAATATATATTGTAATACATAAAATACAAACATTGTTTGTGTATTGAAACAAAAAAATTGTGTAAAATGAAAAGAAATTATCGCTATTATAATTTTTCGTTTTTTTCAGTTTGTGAAAACAAGTTTATTTTGAAAAAAATGTTATTTGGATTTAAAAAAATACATTTAGAGAATATTGCGCATTTTAATTATAAATCGTTTGCCTATGTGGAAGACACGTTAAAAATCGGATGCTGGGATAGGATAAATTCAGATACACTAATAATATTCTTTAAAATTTACCATTTTGTGGCGGAGCTTACAGATGTGGCGGAGCTTACAGTCGACGCCCGGTATAACGAACGAATTCGGGATATAACGCATGAACGAACGTTTCCAAATTTATATACTGGGTATAAAGAATGGCGAAAAAAATAATTGGCTAGCCTTATAAAAAAATATATGTAAACACCTTATTATTACTGTTATTACGTTAATTAACATATTTTTGTTAGAAATCCATTGAAAAATGGAATAACTTTTTTGTTTAAAAAAAGGTTGCACCTTAAAAAACTTCGCGATATAATGAATAGGCCTAACTATATATAAACGAAATAAAAATTGTATAAAATTTATAAAAACATCATACTTTTTTGAAAAAACTTTTTTCTTTGATCTCAAGAAAAAAAATTACACCATAACAGAAAACAGTGATAAATTCACTGTTCAGATATACAACTATCGTCAGTTACCAATTAGGAATTATACACATTTTTGACATTATACACATTTTTGTAGTATTAATTCGAGCATGTAAAAATCCAGGAATTAACAAATTTTAACATTTAAATTAGTATATATTGCAGCTGCATATACACACAGAAAAAAATCAATTAAAATCATGTTGGTTCAAAATTTTTTCCTAACGATTTTGCTTCATTATCGTTTCATGTTGATTCATCATGATTTTACAGTAAAATTAAAATACAATATTCTTCGGTTAATTGCACATCAAAATTTGAACTATTTTTTGTTCAATCAACCGAGGAACCAATTATCCGATATAAGCGGGTATCGGATAATTGTTCAATTACAAAAATCACGCATACTTGAGCAACATTAATTTCTAATGTTATTGTCAAATACAAATTAAACACGCTTTCTAATATGCCAAATATGCATGTAAAACCAGTAAGGAAAGTAATAAAGTCGGACTGGGCTGACTATATGATACCCTTCACCACTTTGGTGTATTTTTATCCTACAGACGTCGCTCTTCGAAGGAAACGATTTTCACGAAATTTAGCACACAATATCCTAGTCATAATTCAGTATGATATGCCAAAAAAATTGTACGAAAATATATGGGAGCTATATGTACATTTGAACCGATTTTTCTCAATTTCAATGGGGTTCGTCCTTGAGCTGGATTATCAATGCGACATGTACTTTGTTTACAATTTAATATCAACAGACGGACGGACATGCATAAATCGACTCAGAAATTGATTCTATGCATATTCTCAAAAAGAAACCATGAGTCTATAAAAATTTCAGATAATTTTCCAATAATAATGCAATTAACCGGTGAAATATAAAAGGAAATTTATTTGGTGAAATGAATTTTGAACCAATTAAACGGGTAAATCAATTAACAGGGATTAATTATCCGAGGAAATTTACATGTGTTTTCGTATGCAATATTTTGTTGACCCATCATGTGGTTCAATTAAGCGAGGAAACCTATTAAACGTAGGGTCAATGAACCGAAAAATACTGTAACATTTTTTCTCTTAAAAATAACACGAAATCTTGTTAATTTGAATGTGTTATTCTAGTTGAATCAATGTGATTTTTTTTCATTTTGAAATAATGTGGTAACGCGAGTTCATGTTGAATCAATACGAATTTAACACTAGAACGCCGAAGGCGGTCATTTTGACCGCTTTCCAATTTCAAGTACAAAAGCAACTGTGCATTTAATGACACCTTTTTTTAAACTTTGGTGAATTTTTTTTAATAAACCTATTTCTATGAGGTACAAAAAGTCACAAAAAAAGTGTCATTAAATGCACAGTTGCTTTTGTACTTGAAATTGGAAAGCGGTCAAAATGACCGCCTTCGGCGTTCTAGTGTTAATGTTGAATTAACTATGAAATCATATTAAAATGACATGAAACATGTTGAAATAATATGAAACCCCCATTGAAACCACTTGGAATTTCATGTTGAAATAACATTTGTTCATGTTGAAATGTTATGTGTATTTTGGTTATTTATTTATTGTAAAATTTTGTAAATTTTAAGCATTTATTACCATTATTAATATGTAATAGATGTAGAGGAGGTCTTGTAAATTCATGGAGTTCTTTAACATGTCTACAACGTAGGATTGAAAATGATCATAATGACCAATCGCTAAGGAATTCGTAACTGCTACCACACGACTTCAGTTGGCTTTGCTTTAATGAAAATGTCCTTTGTCATTTGTCTTTAACTTTGTCCCAGTTAGAAAAAATCCCTCTCCGAAAAAGAATGTATATTACAAAAAAAGAAAAACTGTGATTAAAAGTTGATCGTATACAGCTTCGAATTAGCAATTGATGTTGATAAGGATAATGCCGGCGATGGTGTTGTACTAACATTAGATTGATTTTATGACCATGTGACTTCTGTTTCATGTTGTTTTAACAATTTACAACTTTAATTCAATCTTGTTCCATTTCACAACGTCAATTTAACGTGATTGAGATGTTGTTCCAATATGAGTTAATGTTATTTAATTGTTAAAATATTATCATTTCATTTCAACATTAATTACTATTAATTTTACTATTTTCTCAATGTTAATTTCACAATGGTAAACGTTATTTTAACTAGTCACAATGTTAATTTAACATGATTGAAATGTTGTTTCAACATGAGTCAATGTTATTAAATTTTTAAAATTGAAGAATGTCAATTCAACATTAATAACTATTAATTGTACTATTGTCACAATGTTAATTGAACATGAAAATTTGTTATTTTTATTATAAAGATTCATCTATGGAAATTCAACATTGTCTACTGTATTGTAACTATGAAAAATGTTAAAATGAATATGGGCAATTTTATTTTAACGTGAAAATTTTAAAATCAGCAATGTTTAATATTAAATTAACGTGTTTTACTGTCGATTATATATGAAACAATGTTAAAATAATATTTTTCTAAAAAAAAATTACATCGATGTAAAGCAGCAGTGCCCAAAATAGGTCCCATGGGCTGTCGGTGTGTGTCAAAACTCTTAAGGGCCCCATACACTATAAATCATGCCGTCATGCCGATGAACCCCTTTTTGTATATGTGAGATTGACAAGTGTATTGCAAACTCTTCAATCACTATTCCAAAAAATCGATTTTTGTCCCAAAAATTGCATTTTGAGTCGTAAATTCAGTTGTTGTTTTATTCCGTCACAATTCTATTATTTTTGTACACAAAATTATTTACTGACAACTTTCAAAATGAATATTATTCATCAGATTGATAGGTTTTCATTTTCAAAATCAAAACTATTTTGATTTTCTTCATGCATTGTGTGTGTCACACATACATATATAAACTTTCAAAAAATAACACATACTATGATAAATGCTGTACGGCATGATGTATAGTGTATGGGGCCCTTTACACACA